GGTTGGGGTTTCCTAAAGGCTCCTCACAGGGCCTCAGTTTCCCCTCGTCCCGGGCAGACAGCACCATCCAGCAGGCACGTTAGGGACTTGAGATCCTTGGAGGAGGAGGGGGACTTCCTTCAGGGGTGTACCCGCCCGCTGAGTGCCAGGTCCCCCTGGTCCTGGAAAACCCAGGCCCTGCAGCCCTCACTGCCCTCTGGTTGGGACCCCGGGTTCTGGGTTGTGGTCATGTGCAGTAGGGTTGCTCGGGCCTCTCTGTCACTGCTGTCTCTGCCTTGGCAGGTGATGCTCGTGATTGACACTGCAGTGACCAATGTGGAGGACCTGTCGTCCCTGGAGGAGTACCTTGCTGGCCTGGGCAGGAAGCACCGGGCAGTGGGCGTGAAGCTCAGCTCCTTCTCGGTGGGTAAAGGGGTTCTTCCTCTTTCCAGTCCTCCCCTAGCTCCTGTTCTCTCCGCCCATGCCCTTCCGTTCAGATGACCAGTTCTGGTGGCCCGCATCAGTTATTATCTGCTGTGTGACTCTGACGCTGGCTTGACCTCTCTGAGCCTCCAAGTTCTCTTCTCTGATACAGTTTTCTTTTCTTTTTAGAACTATAAAGTTTAGAAGCCTTTGGGCATTTTTGGTTGGTTTAGCATTCCACTGCTGGGTATCAAACCACCCCAAAAAGCACTGGCTTAAAGCAACGATTTCTAATTTCTTAGGGTAGAGCTCAAGTAGGCAGTTCTGATCCACACGGTGTGGTTGGAATCACCCACATCTGGCATCCAGCTGGGTGTTCAGAAGGGGCTGGTAGGTCCAAGCTGGCCTGTGAGTAATAAACCGTATTTGATTAATAATAACAAATGAGAGCATTATTATGGCCAAAGGCTTAGTGTTTGCAAATACTCTGCTTTTTATAGATTATCCCACTGAATCTCTCAACAAGCCCAGGACTTGGAACTTTTAATTTGCCTGTTTAATTGATATAGCAACTTGAGGCTGAGAGAGGTTATGCAACTCGCTCAGGGTCACCCAGCTCTTCCGTGGTGGTCAGAATCTGGACACAGGTCTATCTGGCTCCGCAGCCTAGACCCTTAACTCTATGACTGATGCCTTGCGGGGGAGGAAAACTGAGGCTCAGGGGCAATGACTTGGAGCCAGGAAATGCCTTCATCCTCTTGTGGGTGGTTGCAAAGCTAAGAGTGGAGTGGAAGGCTCTATTTGATGTAATGTGTCACATTTGGGGAGAAGGTGGGCACAGTGTGGTTCCCAAGGACTGGGATAGGACCCTCCTTAAGAAGCATCAGCCCTGTGCAGGAGAGAAGGAGGCCAGGAACCCTTCCCAGTCCTTGGCCTCGGTTTTCTCATCTGTGCAATGGAGCAGTGCCTTCCTGCCTTTTGGAATGACTAGGCGCCCCTTGCCTCTGCAGACGGTGGGTGAGTCCCTGCTCTACATGCTGGAGAAGTGCCTGGGCCCGGCCTTCACACCGGCCATGCGGGCCGCCTGGAGCCAGCTCTACGGGCTTGTGGTGGCGGCCATGAGCCGGGGCTGGGACGGCGAGTAAAAGGAGCCCCCTGCCCAGAGGCAGCCCCAGCTCTCTGCCTGTTGGTCTGTGTCCACTGTAGCCTTGGCTCCTCCAGGCCTCCCTGCATCTCGGTCCTTGTCCCCTTGGCCATACTGGAGAGGTGATGGGGCAGGAGCGGGTCCCCCCTTCCCAAATGCACAGCAGGAAGGGGCTTCTGGGTTCCCCTCCTCCCCGCAGCCTCCTCCCCGCCTGCCTTTTGACCTCCCTGGCACCTCCCTCTTGCCCCATGAGAAGGAGAGAGTTTGGGGGGCAGAGGTGGCGTGGGGCTGGGAAGGAGCTCGCAGAGCCGGGGCTCCTCTCTGTGTCCGCCCTTCCTAGGACGAGTGGCTGGGCTCCAGCACTGCCCCCTGCTGCCCAGGCCTGTGCTGCTCTCCTGCCTGCCTCGGGTGTTTGTTTCAGACTTAGGGACAGATGTGTCCCAGCAGTGGAGCAAGTAGTGGGTGCCTTGGGAAGGGGGTGCCTGCTCCACCCTGGGGCTCCTCTGGCTCTCAACTGCTCAGATACCCCCAGAGAGAGTAGTTTTCCTTTGGCAGAACATCCGGGCCCTCCCTGGGCTCTCCTGGCGGGGATTCCCTGATGCTGCAGGGAACAGCATCAGGGGACAGGACTGGAGGGGCTGGGAAGGTCAAGGAGGAGGGGCCACCGAGTCACAGTGGCTTTTCCTCCACTCCCAGCTTCAGCAGGGCCGCCATATCTCCCCACCTCCTTTCTGCTCACCTGCTCAGGCTGGGGCCCCACAGCTGCCATATTTAATGCCCGTGGAGTGCCAGGACTTGGGCAGGTGGCTGGAAGAGGAAGCAGCGGGAAGGGCCCTCTGCCACTGCTGGCCACCTCTACGACCCTTTTGCTCTCTGCTGTGGTCCTGTAAACTCTCGAGGAATAAACATGTCCTGTTTGCCTGTCTGACCTTCAGGGACTGGTCTCTTCTTGGGCCCTTCCTGCTCTAAATGCAGCTGCAGGGCATTGGACCTAGCATGTCCTGGGGGGGGGGCGTGGTTAGCGGAGCCAAGGTCAGAGAGGGTGGAAAATAAGGCAGAGGCTGGGGAGGCTGGAAGGCCGTGGTGGAGCTGCTGGTTTGGGCTTCAGACCGACTGGCAGGCCACCAAACCCTGTCTCTCCTGTGCTTACAACTGGGCGACACTGCCCAGCCTCCCTTGCAACCAGGCAGGAAGGGGACAGCTGTGTCAATGAGCAATGTGTGGGGCTGCGCCACTTCTTGGTGTGTCCCCTCCAAGCCCCCATGTGCTCCTCCTGCTCTGTCAACCCTTGGCAGTTCGAAGCAGACCTCACAGTGACTTTGAGGACCATGTGCTGAAGGGGACAGAGCCACCTGGTGAAAGGAGTCTGGTTCCTGAATCGATGCTTGGAGAGGGTCCCCTCTCATCAGGATCGCCCAATTGGAATTTTATCAGAAACAGATATGAACGTGTCTTCTGTTGCGCCGTTATGTGTTTTGATTGGTCAGTTACAACCTGTGGCCACCAGAGTCCATAGTGTGGAGCGGTCCATGGGTTAGGGTTTTGGAAGGAGATGGGCAAGACTGACCTGGGGCATGAGGAGGGGGAGCAGCACTGAGAGGCCATCACAGGAGCAGGCTCCGGGCCTCCCAGTTCGTCTGGGATTGGCCAGAGGGGCTACTCCCGGGCCAGCCGCCAGCAGTCCCCAGCCTGCACAGTGGGGGCTGGTACCCGTATTGTCCAGCCAGCCCCCAGCTGAGGCATCATTTTTGCTAATCTCAGCTGCAGGGCCTGCGGGGCCAGTGGCTGCCGCATTGGATCTCCAGCCCCACAGGCTCCAGCAGACGGGGCCTTGTCACTGCCTGACCTAAGGCCAGCTCAGACTCGGGCGTCTATGCCCGGCCTAAGGTCCTGGGGTTTGATGTGCACTCAGGTGACTGGGATGACCTGGCTACCCCAGACCTAGGGCTCCCACCTCCACACAGACCACTGTTCTGAGCACGTGTACCATGAGTCCTTCCCGCCTCTGTTCTGGGTCTCAGCCTTACCATCCGCCCAGATGCTGCAGGATCCTTCCCCTTCCTTGAGCCCATATCTCCAAAGCCAGCCCCCTTTCCCCCCCAGCAACCGCTTCCTTTACTCTTTTGATGTCAAAACCCTTCAAAAGAGTGGTCTCCCCCCTTCCCGCCTTCATTTCCCCACTTCCCAGGAGAGAGCCTGTTCCAGCCATGCTTTCTCTCCACTCCGTCTGCCACGGTCAAGGTCTCCAGCGGCCCTGTCTTGCCTGATTCGTGGCCCACAGTCCTCGCCTTGCTCTGTGCTCAGCAGCACTAGAAAGCGTTGATCACTCCTTTACTTTTAAACCCTGTTTTTTTTAAATAGAAAAATGCTAACAATGACAAAAATCAAGACGGGTGAAGCTCCGCGTACCCCAGCCAGCAGCGACAGTGATCAGCTTAAGATCCCCCTGCCTCTTGTCTTCCTGATGAAGACTTTTTTTGGGGGGGAGCGGGGTTACTGGGGATTGAACTCAGGGCCACTGGACCATGGAGCCACATCCCCAGCCCTATTTTGTCTTTTATTTAGAGACAGGGTCTCACTGAGTTGCTTAGGGCCTCACTTTTGCTGAGGCTGGCTTTGAACTTGTGATCCTCCTGCCTCAGCCTCCCAAGCTGCTGGGATTACAGGTGTGCGCCACTGAACCCAACCAAGACTTTTAAAACACAACTTCATGTTCTTTCATGGCTTCACGTAACTGGCTTGTCTACACCAGTCTGTCTCTCGAGTTACAGTCGGGTGTGACTAGACTAGGGACCCCTCCTTGCTTCCTGAGTCCCTCCAGGAGCCCCAGGTCCTGGCCGATGCTCCTTCCCTGTTTCCCTCATGCCTCCTCTCCTGTGTTTGCTCGCTTAGGGTCGCAGCCAGCGCCCTGTGCTACCACCAACCAGGACCTGATGACCCCGAGCTTTATGTTTCCAGCTTGACCCTGTTATCCAGCCACTCCTCGACCTCCTCATGAGCACCTCAAATGCAACACGACCAAACGGGACTCTTGGCATCCCTCCCACCTCTCCCCAACCTGCTCCTTCTACCTGCTTCTCTACCTCATAAACCACTGCTTACCAAGAAAACTGGGGTTCATCTTTATTTCTTTCCCTTAGATTCCACACCGAATCCAGCTAGGATTCCTTGGTCCCTAGGAAAAATTCAATGATGTCTCTCCTTATTCTCTGCCTCATCCTGGTCTGTCCCTTACCCCCAGCTCCAGTGATGGCAGAGTAGCTGCCCAAGGACAGCTCCCCACCCCCACTCACGCTGGGCCTCCTCAAGCTCTCACAGGCCTCCTCCCTGTGGGGACAGAGGATGACAATCTCCAGGAGTCATTGCTTCCAAGAGGAAAACTCATGGAGATTATTGGGGATGAGTTGCCCATTATAAATGCATTTAATCCCATGGAACTGTATATTTAAAATGGTTAAGACAGTAAATATTTTGTGGATTTTGCAACACTGGAAAAAAATTAAAAACATAAGAGGATTTTGCCACTCCCCTGCTCAGAATCTTCCAGTAGCTTCCTACATCACTGGTAAAACCTGGAGCCGGACCAAGGCTACAAAGCCTGCTGCTCTCAGGCCTCACCCTGACCCTCTCCTTCCCATCTTCATGCTGCTTCGGCCACTCTGGCCTCCTCACTGCCCTTTGGGACCTGTGTGTGGTCCCTCTATTCTCATGGAGTTCATCTTGGATCCTCCTCATCTCCAGTCACTCCCTGCCCTCATCCTGCTTTGTCCTTTCTTCAAAGCACTCATTCCTCCCTGATGGCCCCTTATATAATCTGTTTATTGCACTTGAAGCTTCTATTGCATAGAGACGGGCATGAAAGCCACTTTGGCATCTGTGTTTGAAGGAAGAGGAGATTCTCCACACTGCTACTGCAGGTGACAAGGTAGTCAGTCAGAAGGCCCCCTGAGGCCCAGTGTGTCCCAAACAGTAATCACACTTTTGAAAATTATGACAGAAGTTGTGCCCCAGCTGGTGAGACACTGAGTCTCCTTACCTCTCCCTGCACAATTCAGCCGGCTGAGGGACATCTGGAAAAACAGAGGTGGCGGGGCACCACCCCAGAAATTTTGGTTTGTTCGGGGATGCGGTCTGGGCATTGGGTTTAAGAATTTCCGGAGACTCCCACTTGCAGCTGGGCGGAAGGACCCAGCCACGGAGGCTTGACTGATGCTGGCCTGCTCATTGTCAAGGCGAGGGACCATCACATTTTCAGAAAACAGGCTCTGTTGAGCGAACCCAGGAGCTTGTCTGTGAACCAGCCCTCCAGCCCCCATGCTCTCCAGGCCTTCCAGAGAGCACCACGGGCCAGCACCACCACCCAGGACAGGCCTGAGTACCACGGCTCCAGTGCCATGGCTTTGGGAGAGTGGCCAGGAGCTGCCCTGGGGGTCCTCTTGGCCGCCCTTGCTTGGGCTCCAGGTGTCAGCTCTGGGAGCTCCGGGCACTCCTACTACCTCCCCAACCTGGCGGTGTCCTGCATGGTGCTCAGACTGGTACTCTAGTGTCCCGTGGACACAGCCCTGTTGGCCTCCCTGGCGCCGTGCCTCTCCCACAGACCCATGCCAGTCATCCTGTCTGCTTTGTAGGCCTCCCAGCCTCCCTGGATGGCTGAGCTGAGGGGCCAGCCTTCTCTGGGTACCCCCTATTTTGGGCTCCACATCTTGTCTGTATGTCTGTCTCTGCCTGAGTCCCCTGACAGGGCAGCTAAACCAAGGGATGGCCCAAGGCCTGCCATCTGGGGCCCCTGGAGGCTGCTGGCCTCTGGGAGAAGACCTTCAGAGGCAGCTGACAGGATTGCATAGACCCCAGGAGAAGGGCCCTTTCCTGCAGCAGCCATTAGCCCCCTAAACTCAGGCAGGAGCCTATGCCACTCTGTCCCCTGCATTCAGCAGCCCTGGTGGGTTTCATCTGGTTTGACTTGAAAAATAATTTGTTTTTTCAGGGGAGAGGAAATAAGAGGATGATCTCTGGCCCCACACCCACCGATGGACAATGAGAGCCTAAGAAGTGGCACAATGAGGGCAGTGGGGAACAGTCTTCAGGCAGCCACCCCTGGACTCGTCCTCTGTCCCCACAGCAGCAGTGGGAAGGAAGCCTCCTTGACCCCGGCAGGGGGATTCTGCTCTCTTCAGAAATAGGGCAGAGCATGGACTCCTACCCCTTCTTTTTCTCTTTCAAGTACTGGGGATTGAAGCCAGGAGCACACAACCACTGAGTTTTTTGTAAAGCCGGGCACCGTGGTTCATGCCAGTAATCCCAGCAGCTCGGGTGGCTGTGGCAGAGGGATCATAAGTTCAAAGCCAGCCTCAGCAACTTAGCAAGGCCCTGAGCAACTTAGTGAGACCCTGTCTTTAAAAAAAAAAAAAATCATATAGTATTGCACAGCGTCTAAGTGGCCCAGTCTGTCCTTCAAATTGCACCCTCCTGCCTCTGCCTCCGGAGCAGCTGGGATTGCTGGGGTGCACACTGTGCCTGGTCTCCTACCCTGACTTTCTCTGTGAGGTAACCAGCCTAGGGTCATCAGCTAGATGAAGGAAAGGCCAGAACCAGAGTGAGTCTCTTACCCAGAGACATTTTCCTTGGGTAGAGACCCGTTTTCTCCTCCTTGCCACAGATGTGACAGCCTTTGCATTTCTTGTCCTGCCCAGGCCTGACCCAGCTTGCCCCCCACACCTCCCTGATGCCCAACCTCTTTTTGACCCCCTTGTCTCTTGCTAGGTGTAGACCTGAGCCCTGTCACTCTTCATGGGGCCTCCACCTGAAATCTAGTCCCTCCTCTGGCAGAGGCCAATTGTCCCCTCACAGGGCCTAGCATTCATCTGGGGCTTCTGTTGCTCCAGTGAGGCTGCCCTTAGGGTTTCCTGGATGACTCAAGGCCAGAGTTCT